GAGCATCGTAAGGCTCCAGAGTTCCTAATCCACGCTGAAAATACGCCTGATTTAGCTCCTCCTGACCCACTGGAGTGATTATTCCAGTACTAGAAGCTAGAGAGAGGCTCTACTTTAGTGACAGTGTACCTGGTGATGCCACAGAAATCCCCTCCTTTTTCAGAGGCAGCAGCAAAAAGCAGGCAGTGGTCCGGGGGCAGGGGCCGGCGGAGCACATGAAGTCCCGAGGCGCCCAGGCCGGACAGCCCCGGGCGGGGATGGTGACCTTGGTGGGTCGAGGCCCCATGCAGGAATAACACTGTGCATCCCGCAGAACTAAAGTCTCCCAGTCCAGCGCTCAAATGGTCTCAACTGCATAAGGCTGCATACTGCGAGGGCTTCCAACGATTTTGAGGGCACAAGTCCCTGAGGAAGAAAGCTACAAGACCCTCAAACATCTGAGTGCTGGAGCCAACTGTAAGGGTCCCCTTGAGCTGCCATCATGTTAGCGCAAGGGCTGGGTGAGGACATAAGTTCAGCGCTTGGTCCAGTGTCTTTGGAGCTTGATTCTGGGTCCCAACACGACAGTATCCTCTCCGTCAGCAGTCACCTTTGACTTCTCTTTCCCCCAAAACACTCCAATGCTAATTAAAAACATAAACTGCAAAATCACTTTGGAATCAGCCCCTGCCCCATTTCCATGGCCTTAGTTCAGCACTCATCACCGCTGGACTAGACTATCGAGGGGCTCTGTCTGTCCCCAGGGCCGTCCCATCCCCAGCCTCTCTGTGGAGCCGGCCCCGCACTCTGTGGAGCCACACTCCTCTGGCTTTCCACAGCCTGCAAGGTCAAGTCCACACCCTAGGGGCCCAGCGAGGTCCTTCCTAATCGTGCTGACGGGCCTCTCCAATCTCATCGCTCCCGCTCACCCAGCCACCCTGTCCAGCAATGAGCACAGCAGACTCGCTTCCTGTGGACACGCTACAGCAAAGCTGGGAGCTAAGGACTCCACGTGCATCACCCTCTTAACCTTCCCGAAGACCCTGGGCAGCCTCTAGGCAGCCAGCAGCCACTCTTGCCAGTTTACAGCGGAGGAAAGGAAGCTCAGGTCGCTCCCCTGGCTGAGTCCCGCCCCGTGTCCCACACCTGCCCCCTCCCCACGCTTCCACCTGGACTGGAAGGCCCTGCTGCTCTCCCTCCGTTGCCACCTGGTGCATCCCCATACTGATCTCCTTCAAGACCCCACACTCCGGCGTTTCCCCCTGCATCGTGCCCTCTTCACCCGGAGCTAAGAATCCTGTCTGTGTTGCTCCAAGGCGCCCAGTACATTCCTCCTGACACGTTAGTTATCACAATTACCCTTATATATCCCAATCTACCACTTGGACTTCGAGCCCATGAGAATAAGAGCCATCTGCTTTTTTTTTTTTTTTTTCGGTAAGCGGGCCTCTCACTGTTGTGGCCTCTCCCGTTGCGGAGCACAGGCTCCGGACGCGCAGGCCCAGCGGCCACGGCTCACGGGCCCAGCCTCTCCGCGGCACGTGGGATCTTCCCGGACCGGGGCGCGAACCCGCGTCCCCTGCATCGGCAGGCGGACCCTCAACCGCTGCGCCACGGGGAAGCCCCCATTTGCTTTTTAACTCTTCCTTTTCCGTGTCTGGCACGCCCAGGTAGGTAATAAATGAATGACGAGGTACGCTTTGTTTATTATGTGTTGTTTCACTCACTCTGTCCTTCCTCACATACTGGATTCTCCCCCATGTTTCAGAGCCTCGTTACCTCCAAGATCTCTGTGGCAATAAGTTCCTGACAGTTTTCCCTCCGGTCACCTTGCTAGTTTTCTTCTTTACTGATGGTGAATTAACTTCTCCAACACACAGTTTTGAGCCTGGCCCTTCTCTATTCAGAAACATCTTTGATTCCTCAATGCTTATCAAGTAACGTACAGACTATCTGGAATCCAAGAGTCCATGATCTGAACCTAACAATCTCATCTTAACTGGGATGGTTCCACAACACCAGATGAAACTGTTACCTCCTGTTCTCTCAAATCACATAAAATCGCTGTACATCTGACCACTGAAATGCCCCAGCTTCCTCTCCGTAACCACCTGCAGAAATCTCACCTTCAAATCAGATGTGATCACCCCCATTAAGCTTTCCTTGACTTGGTACATGGGTAAGAACTACAACGCTTGTGAAATCCCACAGCATTATGGTTTTACCTCTTTTGAGGAATTTAATCCATTCTGCGTACTCTACTATGATTTAGATACATCTTGGGTAATCAATAATCTTCCTCGACATCACCCACCATTCCTTAGAGCTACACCTGAGTGTCTTACACCTGGGAGGTACTCCACAATTTGATGTGACGTGTTACTGAATAAACATATAAATCTCACAATCCTCCAGAAGCCTGCAACATGGTGACTGTTAACAACCAGTTTTGGAAAAAACTGACCTTAACTGGCCACTGTCTGAAAAAGTCAGGTCAATCAAGGATGGAAAGATCATCAAATGGATAGTGACCAGCAGACAATGTCAGCCAGTGTGGAGCACTGGGCTGAGTGTTCGCCACACGGTTTCCTTGGTTCTTACAAACCTCCAAGGCACAGAAAGCTCTTGCACATTCCACCTTTGAGAAGTTCAAGGGCTTGCCTAACGTTTGGCATCTTTTGGAAGGCAGAGCTGGGACCCCAACCAAACTAGAAACATTTACCAAAAGAAGACTTAAGCTCCCTGTAAAGGAGTTACAATGGATTCTCATCACTTAAAAGAGCTTCATCTATGGTACATTTCAGCACCGCCAGGAACTAGGGCATCCATACCGCAGGACTAAGGACAGGGCCCCCTCCCGTTGACCTAATTCAGCCAGTGAGTTAACTGTGTGACTCTGCAGGAACACCAGCAACGACACTAAACCCCTGAGTCTGTACCTTCATAGGGCAACAGGTACAAATGCTCAGCTGCATTTCACAGCCAAGTAACAATTTCAGTCTCATTCCCCAGACCATCGTTGTTAACAACAAAGTTTACCACTAGGTGGCAGGAGTACAACGCCAAGGAGGCTAGTTTTGGACACAGTCTTGTTAAACTGTGCAGTTTTTCAAAGATTTTGTCCCTTTTAGAGTAGTATGTTACAAATAAATGATTCTAAATTTAAAAAATTATTCTCCCTTATTGAAAATTTCATGATGCCTATGCATCTTAAATAACATCATAATACACACAGGTTTCAACTTTTTAAAATTCAACCATAACCACAGCTCAAAATAGCTTTAAACATATAGGTGGAACCATACTATCAATAAATTAAAAAGTAACAGTGTCCATTAAAATATAGTAAAGACTGTTATTTAGTTTCGTGGGAGGCTATATAAGACTGATAAATACCGCTTGTAACCCATGAAGGTTGGAACTGCTGCATTTCGCAAGGTGCTTTTTGGTTTGTTTTGTTTGCACTTTGTTTCTAAATATGTCGAAATAAAAGAGGACGTTTCAGATTATATTTTGCAAGTACTTCTCTGCAAGTAACACTAAATATTACCAATATATACACAGTGCAAACTGGGCAAAAGCATCACTATGTTTTCTCTTTCTGACACTTACTCTAAAAGCACAAGGGGAAGCTTGATGGGCTACATGAGAATTTTGCGGAAATGAATGCAACCTAGAAATATAATGAGTATCTTACAGAAAATCCGTAATTACCAAGATGCACACGCACTATTAATAACTTGTGTCCTTCTGCTTCCTCTCTTTGGCGATCCCTTGTGGGTAGAAACTAAATGATGTAAACTAAGAACAGCAAATATGCATGTGAAAGTATATAATGGTCAAAAATTACCCTGGGAAGTAACTGAGTTAGAAACTTAACTCTTGAATATGTTTAGTTAATACGTGCTCAGGAATAAAATATTTTAATGATGTTTTTTTTTTACCGATTTTGTTAAGCAGAAAATAAAATCTCCACCTTTAGCATAAAGAACCCTCTAGAACTAGGCAAATCCCTCTTTTGAAGGAGGAGGGGGGTGTCCTGAACCATCAGTACGGCAGGACGGGGTGCTTGGTGTAAGGAATTACACTTCATCTCATCATCCAGGGAGAGGTGAAGTCCAGACCGGCTCAGGCCTTGATCAGTAACGCAAACCAGAGCAGAGTCGGGAGTCCTTCCCAAGGCTGACACCTCGTCTCGTGTCCTTACAACTGTCCCATGGACTTCTTTGGAAATATGCAAATGAGCAAGTGGTCATCAACATACAGGACCTCTGGAAGACAGACTGGCCGCCCCAGGTCTCCATGCAAACCCAGATCCAGAAAAAGTGAGGCAGCCTCCCTTCTCTGGCTACCCAGGGACCCGTGAGGCAGATTTAGATCTCCTCTAAGTGATGTGTGGTAGGCTCTACCTTCTAAGACTCCCTGTAAAGCAAAGGTTAAAAACAGTCCAGAGGCTGCCTTGGCTTCCAAGTTTGCTGTATCATTACTCATCTGCAGGCAGCAAGGCAAAACTGAGGTCCTCTCCGGGGATCGGTGGGAAGGAACCGTTGCAAGCACCAATTTATACCTGTGATATAGTCTAGGAATTTACGGAGAGAACAATTTGCAATATGGACACATGCATGCATCTATCTCCTCGGCTCTCAGCTCTGTAAGGGAACATTACTGAATGCATTTATAAAGTGAAAATTACACAGTACGGTTGCCCGGATTCTTGACAGGATATGAAGAGACCGTTGCTCTTGGAGCCTTGACAGTTATTAGTGAATTCAATTCATGAGATGCTTATGTTCTACTCTAAAAATAAGTACATGCTACTTTAGATAAATAGGCTATTTGTAAATTAAAGTATGTAGTTACCAGTAAAGTATAAAATAAATAAATAAATCAGTACAGTAACCATCATAAAAATTCCTTTGAACCATCAACACTCAGGCGTTGACAGGTATCAAACTGCACGTTTCTAATTCAACTCCCGGGAAATAAAGCAGTGGCGGGTCACCAAGGATGTCCCGCTCGGCCCTTACCTCGTCCGTCTTTTCTTCTGGACAGTTCGTCCCCCCGAGGCTCTGCTGCGGGTGGTTGCCGGCGCCGCTGTTCTCACTGCCCAGGTCACAGGCGGTTTGCACCGCATCCTGGAGGGACCCGGGGCCTTGCTCCCTCTGGACGGGCCCCTCTGCCCTTTCCTCGCTGTCCACTGGACTCAGGGACAGCGCGCTGATGCTGTTGGGACACTTGGCAGATGCTGCGTCGGGGCTCCGAGGGCTGGGGGGCTTGGGCGTGGTGGGCCTCAGAGGACCGAGAGGAGGCTCGGGCTCCACGGGAGACCGGTCGCCAGGGCCCGGTTCCTTGGAGCCTCTGTCCGACACCTCCCGGGCCGGGGGCCTGGAGGAAGAGCCGGGGGAGCGAGGAACGGCACCTCCGGCAGCCGCGTCACTGGCCGAGCCCCCAGCACCCACCAGGCCGGAGTCCTGGGGCTCCTCGCCCCTTCGCCCGCGCTCGGGGCCGGCGACCGCGCGGCGGGAGTAGTCGTCGTGCAGCCGGCTGTGCGGCCGCGGCCCGGGCGTGGCGCCCCCAGGGCCCCCCGGCCGGCCGGCCGCGCCGTCACCCACGAGCCGCAGCACCCGGGCCCGGTCCGGGGCCCGCAGCGGGCTCCTGCAGCGCCTGGGCCTCGCGGGGGCCCCGCCGGAGCTGTCAGAGTCCGCGGACGAGCCGCTCAGCGTCCTCCGCGGGGCCCCGCTCTCGGGCGCGCGCCGCAGCTCGGCCACGTGCGAGGCCGACTTCCTCCGGAAGGAGCTCTTCTTGAGGAAGGTCAGGCTGTCCGTACTCTTGCTCCGCCTGCAGACGCCGTTCCTCTCGGGCTCCCGCGCCGCGGGCTCGCGCGCCGCGGGCTCCGGGGCGGACGGCTCCGGGTCCAGGAGGCGAATGCGCCCCAGGCCGTAGGCGCGGCGGATGCTGCGGGACCGGAGAGCGCCGCGTGCGAAGCCGTCGTCGGGTTCCTCGGGGTCCGAGCCGTCGGACGCGAAGCCCGGCCCCGGGGGGCACCTGCCCGCGGGAGCTCCAGCCGCCGCGCCGTTGGGGACCGCCTTGCCCAGGTCGCGTTCCTCGGCCCCCCCTTTGGCGGCGTCCCATCCCTCCCGGTTCTGAATTCCCTGGAGGACCGAGGTCTTCAGTTTTTTGAAAGACCCCATTTTCCGGAAGGAGGCCAGGGCGTTCCACGTGGAGGAGCTGCCCACGAGGCCGGCGGGCCGGGGCCGCTCGGGGTCGGCGCGCGTCCTGTTCGCGCCGGCGGAGAAGAGGCGCAGGAGGCGGGCCGTGCTGAGCCGCGCCTCCCGGCGACACGCCGGGTAGGTCACCATGCCGGGGTCTTTGGGATCAGAGATGGGGCCGGGGACCGCAGCTCCGCGCCCGTGGCCGTTCTGGGCCGTGGTCATGGTCTGGGGGCCGGGAGCCCGCGGGCACAGGGCAGCGCGGTTCAGACCCACGCGCGCCTCCGTGTCCCCCGGCTCCTCGCGCACGCCTTCCTCCCCGAGGCCGCCGGCCTGGCCTTCCCGCCTGCCGTGCACATCGGGCTCCGCGGTCCTGGTCGCCGCCTGCAGCGGAAAACAAAGCAGGGAGTTAGCCGTCTGCCCGCAGAAGAGCCTCCCTCTATCAACGGGGGCTCATCTGTTTTGTTTAATAATTGCTAACAGAAAACCAGACCTGCCCCCTGACAGGGCCGATCACATAAAACCTATTTTAAACTAAGTTAAAATGTTACTTTTTTCTCCTAATTCATGTCGCATTAAATGAGAGGGAAGAATGCAAATTATGCATTCATTAAAAAAAAGATAATTATAGGTTGTGCATTCAATATGATGGTAAACCCTGAAATCCACTGGAACTCGTTAAAGGAAACTTCTGAAAAACTTCTAGAATGAAAAAGCCAAGGCATCATTCAAGACTATGTCTTCTCTTTATTCGAAATAGAAGACATCTTCAGTTATCTCACACACACGCGCACACACAAAACCCAACACTATTTCAAAATGTGTCACAGGGAAACGCTGAACTAGGTTAAATTTAATGCAGCTGGTAGGAGGCTGAGTGCTTAGTATACAAGAGGCCTCAGACAAGGATGCGTTGTGATGGAGACCAAGACACTTTTAGCTGCATATTGTCTACAAATTACCCCAAAACTCTAATGACTGAGCTACAAAGCGCCACAGGGCCACAAAAGCAGGAGGGACCACGCTGAAGTGGCCTCAGGTCAGGCTCTGTGAAGGAAACCGCATTAGAAGGGCCTCTGTCAGAGGACTCTATAACTGGCTGGGGAATGGAGGTGAGGATAGTACTGAAACATTAGGAATTCGGACACAAATTCAAATTAAACAAGTACCCGCACCGTCTACCTTGCTCCCTCAGACCCAGAAGCCCACCGCACGCCTGTGTCTGTGCTCTCCCCCAGGGGCAAATGCTGCTCCCTCGGCTTTTGCCCATCAGCCCTCAAGGGCTAGCATGCTCCCTTGCACTCAATGAACGATTAGGGAAGGGAGGGAGGGAGGGAGGAAGGAAGGGAAGAGTCTGATCATAATCCGAAAAGGCTACCATTTATCAAGTGCTTACATGTCATGCCCCTGTACTAAGTGCTTTCAAAACATCATGACACTGAGTAGTCATGCAAACCTACAAGGTCAACCGAGTGATTTCCATTTCATACACAATCAAATGGACGCTTGGGCAGGTTAGGTAATTCATCTGGGGGTCCTGCGGCTCCCCCACCCCAACGCCTACTCGCTTGTTCACTGCTTCAAACTAATGAACAAAGACAGAGGCAGAGATGGGATTTGAACGCAGGCATGACTCCAAGTTCAGTGCCTTATGACATAACCCGGACTTAAGTCAAATCCCGGAAGTTCTCACGACGGCAGTCAAGGCCGTTATTCCGGAGGCAACATTAAAGGCAGAAGAGAAGGAGCAAGTTGTATAAAGACCTTGAGGTGAGGCCCCAATTTGGCTTATTCCCCTTACATGCAGAAAAAAAATCTGACCTCATGCAAAGAGGTCTCATCTGCTTCTCTCCAAATTCTCTGATGGGTTCATTTTCATATGCCCCTACCTTGTGCCCACTGAGGAGGGATTTCCAGGGAGAATCGTGGTTAAAGCGTTGATTCCATCCGGGACCAGGGAGGCTACACGGATGTAGACCCTGGAGCCTTTCTGCTGTCCACTTACCCAGTTCCACTCATCAGAAGATGGATGGGGTGCCCACATGCCCTCTGCAGTCTAATGTTCAAACAGAGAAACGAGGGGCCTGAAGAGCTGTGGGTTGCATTTGAATGAACCATATCAGTAAAATCTCAAATCATCCCGGCACCGAGGGTGGATGTGAAACCTACAACCAGCTGCAGAATGAATCCAACACCCAGCATCACCGGTCCATCCTCACCTACTCTGGGAGGGACAGGGCATGAGGGTTGTTGCAGCTTCTCGCAATCTTGAAATGAAGCGGATAGTCTGTGCCAACTGTCAACTCCACTGACTGCACATTACATAATAATAGTCTTGTTATGACCTGCCCTGGACACAGAAGAACAGACAGGATCCCTGCCTTGTAATCTGGCTGGACGAAGACAACATACTGACACCACCACCAGAGGGCGCCACGAGACCGTCAATAACCAAGGACCCAACTGTTAAAAGCTGGCCCTAAGGGCTCAAGGGGTGCAGGGAAGCGTTGCTTTACTGTTGCGTGGTTTGAGAATGGTCTGTGGAGGACCAGGGGCCAGGTCTACGTCTAAACTGCCACCTGAATCTTGAGTAAAGTCATTTCAATAATCTGTGCTTCAGCATGGTCTATAAAATAAGCGGTGCCAACATTTATGTGTATCTCAAACAACCAATCAATTCATGAGCCTCTGTTGGCCTGTGTTGGATGTGTGTAGGCCCCATGATAAATTCAAGGCAGTGACAAGGTGACTGCCCATTCTAGGGGGAAAATGGCATGGGTACAGGAAGATTGGGGGGCAGTAAGTTCGGGTGACCAGCTGTCCCAGTTGGCCCACGGATGGGGCGTCCTCCAGGATATGGGACTCTCAGGGTGAAACCAGGAAAGTTCTTGGCAAAGCGGGATGACTGTTCACCCTGCATTAAGGAGAACAATGTAGTTGGAAGGATGGATCCATGTAATGTAATAGTGGAAACTCGGTGAAAACAGCTTTAGAAAAACCTACCTCCCCTTAGTCTAACTCTGAGACCGTCTGCAGGTGTCTGTCACCTTCTTTGAGAATCCCTTGCTGATCCCCCTAAAGTGAATTAGACCCCTTACTCTGTGGGTTCCAGGCATATCACCAAATTGTTTTATAAAAGCATATTATACTGATCTATATTTATCATTTTAACAAGTTTATGTGGCTGCCTTCAGAACAAGACCATTAACTCTTTGAGAGTAAGAACTGTGCTTTGCACACTAAGATTATTTAAGTTTATCTGGATATGAATTTTGTATCTGTTATCCTGCCTTGTCAATAGCGGTACCAAGGCTAACAATTCATCATTACGTACCACCATATTATTCCAATGTGAAGATGTTCACATTTTTACAACACTCAAAAGTCTAAGCATGTACTTAAAGCTTAGATAAGTTTTAGGATACAGATCCAGTAAAATACATACATATCTGAGTTTCTAATTGGGGCAACATGCTTTTTAAAAGACCAGTGACTTACTATTCCATGAACAACGTGACTGTTGTCTGCTGCTTGGAATGAAACGGAACATCACGGAAAAAAAGCTTTTCCTGGAATTTCCGAGTAACATACCAACTTGCATTATTTAGAACTAATACTTTGACCTCTATTCACTAACAAGGGTTGCAATTCAATCAGTGGTTTTGTAGCAAGTCTTGTAAATTGTGGGAGCTCGGCCAGAGATATTTATGAACAGAACTACAAGAAAGAATTTTAGATGGGAATATTGCGAAATCCATTGTCTAGCAGCTGGATTCTGGATTGTTTGAACTTTAGAAGGGAACATTTCTTTTCATTCGTAAGGAGAATTCTCTGAAAACAACCATGACCAGTAATTTTTAAATAAGAACTTGTACTTGAATTTGAAATTCAGGAATACATACCAGGCTCATGTACAAACGAGGTTTTCGTTACACGTTCGGGTAAATTATAGGAAATGTGACACTGGAAGCAAACACTGAAATCTGGATGCTAAAGGGGTGAAAGCACAGAGCCTTGAATCACTGCATGGCAGAATATGGCCTCAGGGAACATCCAACTCCTAACCGTAAAGGTCAGGACCCTTCGTCAAGCTACAACAGGTGAAAGAGCACAGGCTGGGCAGCAGGGGACTGCGTTGCAGCCCAGGCGCTGCCACGTACTGGCCAAACCCCAGGGTCACCCTAGCCCTCTTCCTTTCCCGCCAGACCTCATCGGTTAGCCTAAGAGATTAGACTGTGCATCTCGACAATCCTGGTCTGGCCCCCCGCCACCAGTGCGTCCGCCTAGAAGGCTTCCCTGACAAGTCCCCTGTCCTGCGGTCTAACTCACCTCCCGTTCAGCCGCAGTGTCCTTCCCAGAGTGCAAACGGACACGTGTCACTTCATCTAGGGATGCTGGCTGCCTCCAGACCTCAGAAGGTGTCACATCTCAGCCCAGCATGCCATACCTTTCCCTCTAGGGATGCCGAGTGACTTACAGCCACAGTCCCTCGCACTGCGATGCTCTGGGCCATTTCCTCACTGGCTCTCAAGAGTCTTTCGCAGACATTCTTGTCTCTCTGTATTAGGGGACCACGGTCCCCAGGCTCCCCTGACCAATGGCTTCCGGTCAGGTTGGCCAGTGGGAAGCATGGGCGGGAGACGCCGTGTGCAGGAAGAAGGGAGATGACAGGGCATCCCCTCTGCCTGGGCTGCTGCCGGGGCTCGTCGAGAAGCTGCTGTGCCCCTCCTTAGCTCCCACTCCTGCTGGGGTCCCTGCCGGTCCTCGCTCCTGTGCGGGCGGGTGGGGCACTGGCACCTGCCCCCCCCCCTTTCTCTTCAGCCTCGGGAGACAGCACCTTCCTGCTACTGTCCATCTGAGCTCTTCTGGCTTCTCTCGTTTCTCAGCTGAGCAAGATAATCCCTCAGCTAGGGTCTCTTCGGAGCATCTAGAGATGCTTCTCTTTTCCTGATGGATAAACATGTGCCCCGCCTGTCTCTAACTCAAATCAGCTCTTCCCTGGAGGCTCGCTCTCCCTCCTCCCCAACTCAGATGCCTGTCCTCTGTGGGCTCCTGTGGGAGCTGCTGTTTCAGCACTCGCCACGCTGCTCTGCAACTCTGGTCTCTCTGTCTGCTCTCTCCACGTAACTCCGGTGAGGTTGAAAAGTTCTTTGAAGGCAGAGACCAGGTCTTATTGAACTCTGCATCCTCTGCATCCAGCCAGTGACTGACTAATGAAGGATGGGAAGCCCCCTCCTCTTGCACATCCAGGGCCAGATCGTTCAGCACTGTCGTTTGCTGAGCCTGCCCATTTTATCCTCCCCTTTCCCTTCCTGGTAGGTCCTTTCCTTCTCTTATTCATTCCAAAATCTTTCCCAGAACCTTGCTGGAATCAAGACTCTGAC